TAACGGGTGTTTTGGTTAAAAAAAGTATAAAAAACAGTACCTACACTGAGCGAAACGTTTTTTTCCAGTAGCCAACACTGATTTTTTCAGGGTTTTTTTCCATTACGAGGCTGACAGAAAGTTTTTTTTTTTTTTTTACCAACACTGTCCAGAAAGCGTGGCCTCAAACGAATCTGAGGGCCTGGCTGTCACCCTTCCAGTTTCCCCCACATTTCTTACACAACGCCCGGGTCTCACTGAAAGTTAACTGAAAGTTTAGGGTGAATGCCACAGCAAATCTCCTAAATTAAAGCCTAACTGCACTAGCAGCAAACTGAAAATGACATATTGCATCATGGCATCCATCAAACAAGAAAATGGTCAAGCAACAGGGGCTGGAGCGGCCAAACTTGGAAAGGCTTGTTGCTGTGGCCGCAGAGGTAGAGGGGGAAAACCCCGAAGCAGGGATGCTAGAGATGGCGGTAAAAGAAGACTTCCTGATACAGTTACTGGTGGGGGTGGTGATGGGGTTGGTGACGGAGGTGGTGATGGGGGTGCTGATGGGGGTGGTGATGGGGGTGGTGATGGGGGTGGTGATGGTAGAGCAGCAACAGGTGAACCAATCGGTGATGCCGAGGGAGGCTGAACCAAAGGTTCTGGGGGAGTTGGTGGGGTCCCTGCAGCAAGGATAATATAAGCACTCAGTCCCAATCCACATCAGGCATCATATACTGTTAGGACGAATTCATTTTTACCGAAATAGCAAGTGTAAGGGTATGCTGGGGCTGGTGGAACTTCATTAAACTGCACTCTGTAGCCCAGCTGGTAAGTCAGGTTTCCAACCCCTTGAGGCAGGGGGCCAAGCCACTGACACGCATCAATGAAGCTGTAGGAAATAAACGGCTCTGCCTGGGAGGTGTTGAGCACATAACTCCAAGGCACCCATCCGCTTGTATTTGCTCCAGGTCCCCAACAGTCAAACTGGGTGTAGGAGCAGGGGTTAACTAGGATCCAGAAAGGAAATAAGACAGAAAATGTATTTTGATGGGCGAATCGTCACTTACCATGGCAAAGAAGGTGGTGCTGTGTCTGGATGCATCACCCCAGTCGTACCAGCCTCCCTTTTGAACAATGTTACTGATATATGACCAAGCATAGACTGTCCTACTCGCATTTCCCCAAGCCCTTCCCAAGTAAACCTGAAATGAATGATCGCAAAGTGCAAATTATTCACTTGCACTTACAACGAGGCAATGCAGCTCGTGTATGTACTCACCCGACCATTCCCTGTGATAATGCTGCGAAGGAATACGAAGCCAGACCGTTTAGTTGTTGACCTCCTGTATTGTGCTGCCACTGCTCCGCTATGCTTCCTGGCTTTGGCATAGAAAACACATCCCTGCAGGTGATAGGCATCGTAAGCCATCCAGGATAGAAGCAATGAACCTTTAATCAACAGAGGAATTTACCTCATAAGTGGATGTTCCATCGCCGAAGACGAAATCAACATTTCCTTCAATGTAGCAGTCGCGGAAGTAGTGAAGACCCTGCCGAACCCAACAAGAGCTTTCAGAAAACTATAACCTTTACAAGAAGACGCTATTCACGCACGCTGATTGCTTACCTTGTGATCATAGAGGGTGTCTTGCCATCCAATGAAACGGCAGCTGTAGAATGCAGCCATCGTGCCGGAAATGCGAAGCGCTACTGCCATAGGACCATTAGCTGTCGCGTTACTAAGCGGCGGTGGTGGAGGAGCTGAGTTCTGTAAGGGTAAAAGTCGTCAGTAAATTCGCAATGGAAAACGCCATCTGAACATATCACAAGCGGAGACGGAAGAAAACTGACTTGAAAGGTGATGTTGACGGCAACAAAGTTGTTGGCTTCAACGCAGACTGAGCAGGACCATAGCGTTCCCAAAACGTATCCGTTGGCCAACTCTCTCGCAGCATAGTCATCGTAGGTGATGATTGTTTCCAACGGGTTTGACCCACGGAGCATTATGCTCACTTTGGACTTCGGGATTAGAACCTTCTCTCTGTGTCACTTGCTCGGTCAAACATTTCCAATGAAAGCGCAAATCTCACAGTGCAAACAGAGAAGACACCATACCTATATGTTCCCGGTAGTATATCGATAACTGCGTGCGACGTCGTACTCGTCGAGGACACATAGTCCACTGCGTCTTGCACGGACGTGAAGTTTCCGGTACCATCAATTGAGACGACAACACTAGCTGCTGGATAAGCATTCCAGACGTTCTCCGGCGACATAACATATTTGTTTTGCAGCAATGGTGAGTCCCACAACTCGTAGATTGAAGTTTTCGTTCCATGAGCAATGCACGCTCCTGAAATACGCGCGTTGGGGAATTAAAGGTTGCTTCTCCGGAAGCAAACAAATTACGTGAAGGCTGCCTACTATCATACCAGAAAGGACGAGAAGGAAACCCAGGGTGAGATTTCCAAGTGGCATGACGACGATGAGCGGCAAGACTGTATTCGTGAAAAGCAAGGGAGACCTGGATGACTAATACACATGCTCGTTCTTCACCTTGACTTACAAGTTTACTACGACCTCTCAAGAGGACTTATAGGACGGAATATTGCTCGTTCGAAGGACGAAACGAGGAGCTCGAGAGGTGCGTCGCCATGGAAGCTGAGGCTGTGATTACCCTGAGATTGCATTTCGAGATATGGTTCTCGAGATGAGCATCATGCTTCTGCGTGGAGTTGAGCCCAGCTGAAGTTTGAGATTTAAAACCCGCAGGCCAAGAATTTCAACCTTAGGAAGGTTGGTTGGGAGTGAAAACGCAAAAGGCCTGCGAACCAATAGGAGTGTCCGAAATGTTGGACGAGGTCTAGAATTCGGGAATGATCACAGGCATTTTTGGGACATCCAACCAACGCTAGGAAGGATGAACCAAATTTGGCCTTCTTGGCCTGCGGGTTTTAAAGCTTTTGTATACATTTGAAAAAGGGAGGTTCAAAAGTTTTGAAATTTGAAAGATTGGTAACCCAGCAACAGCTAGTTTCACTCGCTTCATAAGGGAGGTGATCTCCCCGACACCCAGGGCTCACAGGTGATTCAAAACTTTTGGAATAACAGTAGACGAAATCCAGTCCATGTGAGATCTACGCCACTACGCTCAACAGGCAGCATAAACCGTAGCTAAGCACATCGCGACTCAACAGCCAGCGCAAACCACTCCCGTTTCAGACACAAACTTAGACGCGTGGGGCCGTTTAGTGTAATTACACGTCCGAGCCAACGTCAGTTCCGCCCTCTGACACGGCGAGCCCGCCGGACCTCCTCTCACAGCCTCGCCTCGTCGTCCGTCGCGTCGCCTCACCACGCGGCCTCCTCACGCCACCATGAACGCGCACGCTGCGTCTCAAACTGCCGAACACAGTCCTCACAGTCGCCGCCCGATCGCGCGGCCTCGCTACCGCGTTTCCGCAGTAGCGGCGGCAGCCGCAATTGAGGTCGCGAGGGTAATCAGAAACGACTGCTCCCCGTTTCCCCTTCGCGCCTCCCCGTTTCCCCTTCCCGCCTCCCCAATTCCCCTTCCCGCCGCCCCATTTCCTCTTCCCGCTCCCCATTACCCCTTCGCGCCTCCCCATTTCCCCTTCCCGCTCCCCATTACCCCTTCCCGCCTCCCCAATTCCCCTTCCCGCCACCCCATTTCCTCTTCCCGCTCCCCATTACCCCTTCCCGCCTCCCCGTTTCCCCTTCCCGCCTCCCCGTTATCCCTTCCCGCCTCCCCGTTTTCCCTTCCCGCTCCCCATTACCCCTTCGCGCCTCCCCGTTTCCCCTTCCCGCCTCCCCAATTCCCGTTCCCGCCACCCCATTTCCTCTTCCCGCTCCCCATTACCCCTTCCCGCCTCCCCGTTTCCCCTACCCGCCTCCCCGTTACCCCTTCCCGCCTCCCCGTTTTCCCTTCCCGCTCCCCATTACCCCTTCGCGCCTCCCCGTTTCCCCTTCCCGCCTCCCCAATTCCCCTTCCCGCCACCCCATTTCCTCTTCCCGCTCCCCATTACCCCTTCCCGCCTCCCCATTACCCCTTCGCGCCTCCCCGTTTCCCCTTCCCGCCTCCCCAATTCCCCTTCCCGCCACCCCATTTCCTCTTCCCGCTCCCCATTACCCCTTCCCGCTCCCCATTACCCCTTCCCGCCTCCCCGTTTCCCCTTCCCGCTCCCCATTACCCCTTCGCGCCTCCCCGTTTCCCCTTCCCGCCTCCCCAATTCCCCTTCCCGCCACCCCATTTCCTCTTCCCGCTCCCCATTACCCCTTCTCGCCTCCCCATTACCCCTTCCCGCCTCCCCGTTTCCCTTTCCCGCCTACCGATCCTCTCTTCCTACCAGCCCATCTCCCTCACATTATCTTCAAGCCCCTCCCATCCCATCCCCTTCCAGTCCCTCCCATCCCATTTCAAACCCTTCCATTCCCCTTCCAGTCCCTCCCATCCCATTTCAAACCCTTCCATTCCCCTTCCAGTCCCTCCCATCCCATTTCAAACCCTTCCATTCCCCTTCCAGTCCCTCCCATCCCATTTCAAACCCTTCCATTCCCCTTCCAGTCCCTCCCATCCCATTTCAAACCCTTTCATTCCCCTTCCAGCCCCTCCCATCCCATCCCCTTACAGCCCCTCCCATCCCCTTCCAGCCCCTCCCATCCTTTGCAGGTGACGAGGATAGGGTTGAAAATGATGAGGATGAATGTGACATTGAGGGGTGCGAAAGAGAACGGGAATTGCCCATCGAGATAGATTTTGCAATGAGGGCGTGAGATGCATGTGCATACGATTAGCCACGTGCATGGTACTGAAGAAAATCGGTCTCATAATATTTCTCTTTTATGTATTTAGTGACATGGTTGCGAGGAATCGTTACATCAAACTTGATAAAGTCCAGATAGCTAAATGGCCATAAAAGTTCCTAATATCGTACGGCAAAGCGAGCTCGACAACACACAGTTGGAAGTGTATGCATGCTTGTTGAATCACAATTAGAAGCCGTCAACTAAGCAAGGAGATGCCGCACATGCTGCCTGCTGCTGTTGCATGCCTGGCATTGGTGTGCAGCAGATGGGAGCGAGACAGTGTGGGCCGCTTGGTAGACCTGTTAGTGAGAGGAGTGGGGGGAAAATGAGACGGAGGGAGGGGGCGAGGAAGGGGGAAAAGTGGGCACATATGACAGAGCTCAATCTAAGCCTGGAGAATTGCAAGTGGGGAAAGGAAAGAAAGTAATGAGGGGGAGAAAGAGCAATCCAGTGCACACAAGATACACATTACCTGACCGGCATGCAACCCTAAGAGATTTCCTACCATGCATGCCTCACCATGCCACCCCAGGAACACACAGAGTGCCATTAGTGATTCAAGTGGCATGAAAGACTGTTTGTGTGTGAGCCCGAAGGCAAGCGATGTAATGCGCACAGTACCTGCGGGGTTTGAAACGGGGGTCCAAAGAAGGGCATGAGTATAGCCCTCTGCACCATCTGCCGCTGCAGCCTCCTCACCTCCTCCTCCTCCCTCTCCCTCCGCCTCTCTTCCTCATCCCTCCTCGCCTGCTCCTCCTGCTGCTGCTTCAGTGCCACCTGATCACGTCATTGCAAAGAGGAGAGGGAGGCATGGGAAACCGAGGTGAGAGGGAGCAGTTGCAATGCACATTGAACTTGGATGCACATCAATCAGCAGGCACACGCACACCTAGCATACGCTGATCCGCCCGCGCCACACCTGATCCCGCCCTCACCTGCATGTCGTGAACATGCACAGCATCCGGACACGTGAACTGAGAGGTAGAAAGTGGGGGACATGTGGGGGAGAAGGGGGGAAAATGAGAGGGTGCAGGGGGGGAAATGATGGTGAGCAAAGGGAAAATGAGAGGGAGCAAGGGTGGAAGTGAGAGGCGGCAAGGGTGGAAATGAGAGGGAGCAAATGTGGAAGTGAGAAGGAGCAGGGGGCAAAATGAAGGGGAGCAGTGGGGGAAATGAGAGAGGGAGAAGGGGGGGAAATGAGGGCGAGAACGGGGGTAGATGGGAGGGAGAAGGGGGGGGGGGCTGAGAGGGAGCAAGGGGGGAAATAAGATGGAGCAAGGGCAGAAATGAGAGGGAGAAAGGGGGGAAGTGAGGGGGAGAAGAGGGGGGGGATGAGAGGGAGCAAGGGGGGAAATGAGGGGGAGAAGGGGGGGGATGAGAGGGAAAAAATGGGGATTTGAGAGCGAGAAGGGGGGGAAATGAGGGGGAGAAGGGGAGGGGGGTAATGAGAGGGAGAGGGGGGGGAAAGGAGAGGGAGAAGGGGGGGACATTTGGGGGAGAAAGGGGGGAAATGAGAGGGAGAAGGGCGGGAAATGAGGGGGAGAAGGGGAGGAAATGAGAGGGAGAAGGGAGGGAAATGAGAGGGAGAAGGGGGGGACATGTGGGGGAGAAGAGGGAGAAATGAGAGGGAGCAGGGCGGAAAATGAGGGGGAGAAGAAGGGAAGGGATGAGAGGGAGAAAAGGGGGATTTGAGAGTGAGAAGGGGGTGATTTGAGAGGGGGAAGGGAGGGAAACTAGAGGGAGAAGGGGGGAAAATGAGCGGGAGAAGGGGGGAAAATGAGGGGGAGAAGTGCGAGGGAGAAGTGGGGGAAATGAGAGGGAGAAGGGGGGGAATGAGAGGGAGAAGGGGGGAAAATGAGCGGGAGAAGGGGGGGATATGAGCGGGAGCAAGGGGGGAAATGAGAGGGAGAAAGGGGGGAAATGAGATGGAGCACGGGGGGAAAAGAGAGGGAGCAAGGGGGAAAACGGGGGGGAGCAGGGAGGGAAATGGCGAAATGGCTTGTGAGACGAGCAGCGCGAGAGGCGGGCAGAAGGTTCGGCACGCGGCGGGTGAGGTGAGAAGCGGGTGTCGCGCTAAGCGGGTGTCGCGCTAAGCGGGTGTCGCGAGCAGCGGGCTAGGCGAGCCCGCCGAAGGCAACTCGTCGAGGCAGGTAGGTAGGGATTCGACTATTGCACCGCGGCGAGCGAGCAGAATGCAACTCGTCGAGGCGCTCTTGGCAAGGAATCGTCGGGCTCGCCGTATACCGCACGGCGCGCTCGACGAATGCCACGCAACGGCCCGTCCGAATGCCGCACGGCGCTGCAGCTAAAGGGAGTTTGGCGGGCTCAATTGATTGACCTAGTCGTGGCTAGCACCTATAAAGTGTGTCATTACTCAACCTCAACTATTCGAGTAGTCGCACTGTTCCGCTAGCCACCTCGTCGCCTTCCATGTAGTTATACCTAGGCCTTTCTGAGAATTAGTCGCATATTCTCCAGAATGTCAGTTTCAATTCATAGTTGGGTGACGAGAGCATTTCCGGTGTTCTGACAACGCAACCCCCAGAGCACATTGGCTTCAAAATTTCGCCAAGACTCTCGCCAAGCTCACTTGTTTTCGTTGCAGCGAAATCGGTTTTCACACTGTACAGACATGAACAGTACTTTCAAATGTATACAAAAGCTTTAAGGGCTTGAATGCAAGCCTTGAACCTAGATCCGACCTAGGGGGGGACATTCCGTCCCGCTCCAGTTTCCCCCTTCAAACTCCCCCACAATCCTTCCCAACTCCCCCAACCAGGTTTGCTGACGGGAATCCAAACGGAACGTTGACGATAACCACATTCGTGGTGGTGACTCGTTGACGGATTCGTGACCAGCTAGCAGAAGAATGGCGAACCAATCTCCCACAGGTTCGGGAAGGGTTGTGTCGAGTGAGGTTCCGCTCTACGAAATCGCTGTGCTTTGCTTCGCCTGGTAACGCAGGGGTTCGGCCCAATATCGCAGGGTCGAAATGCGAAAGTGAGACCTCTATACGGTTTCGTACGGTGACACAGTTTGAAGCTGCAGGGATCATTTGTCGCACGTCTGCAGCGAACATCCGTTCGGTCGACAATTGGTAGACCAACCTAGTGGCGATCTCTTTACGACAAAAACCCACGAAAATCTCGAGAACATGGTTACCGTCGTTAAAACAGATTGGTGGGTGGTTGCTGTCAGCTCCTCCCGAATGAAATTCCTTGCCCACTTCCTCCATCCCCAATCCCTTCCAAAATCGCCCTGCGCACATTCCACCTCCCTAGTTTCTGTTCCTTCTCTTCCACCGCAAATCATTCCTCCTCGAGGCGCGGTCGTCACGGGACGCGCCCGTCTTCCGCAAACACCGCGATCCGAGCCAAGATCGCCAGTGATGAGGAGCATTGGTCCGTTGGGACCCAGTCGTGAGAAGCAATCGCTGCGGTGACTTAGTCGACTCAAATGTCCAGCGCTTTTTGAGACGCCTCGAGCCTCGTGAGGAGCAATCCCTGCGCCATGCGCGGCCGCGCCAGGCCGTGCCACCGCTTCTACCGCTGGCTCGTTCTCCGCAACTCGCTCTCCGCATCGCCTGTCATCTTCCCCGCACTCGCCTCTCGCTCCGGTCCTCCCTCCCCTCCTCCCCCGCTCTTTCCGCCAATTGCCCGCACCAGCATCATCCTTGCGGCCTCTACGAGCCCAGCCTTTGAGGCGTCGCAAAAACGAACCTCTCGCACCGCCTTTCCCTCTAGTACCAGTTCCGCATCCCAGCCGTCCACGTGGATCACCGAACACGTCAGGAACAGCAGCGGCTACATCCCGGGAGCCGCCGATGTTATTTTCAGGAGCCTCGAAAGCGCTACCTGCGGCGGCGGAGGCGGCAGAGGCGGCGGCTATGATCGGCGGTACGGCCGAAAGCAGCAGGCGCGCGGATATGCGGATATGCGCAGCAGGCAGGGGGAGGGTGGCCGCGCACGCCCATGGCGGTCCGGTTCCAGGTGACACCTGAGGAGGCCCGGGCTCTATTGCGAAAGCACCTGACGGGACACCTGCTGGCGCCCGCCATTGCTGACGTGGACTCGTCTATGGCACTCAGTGCCTGTTCCAACCGTTCTGGACGTTCACTGCTGACGGTGGGTGCATGAGTTTGGAGGGGGGAAGGAAAAGGGGGTGTGGTGTGGGGAGAGGAGGGGATGAATATCCCATGTGTGAGTGCGTGCTCGCGTGTGCGCGCGTGTGCGTGTGTGCGCGCGTGTGCGTGTATGTGTATGTGTGTGTGTGTGTGTGTGTGCACGTGTGTGTGTATGTGTGCATGCGACCACGAGCGTGCGTGTGTCTGCACCTGTGCATCATACTGTTAATGGCACGTCTTTGGTTCTCCTCTTTTCCGCCTCCTCACTGCCTGCTCTTCCCTCCTCCTCTCCTCACTTCCTCCTCCCTACCTCCGTGCACGCACACGCCCATTGGAGGTGGATGCAGGGGAGGCATCATCTGCCATGCTATGCCACAGCACAGCACCCATCTCCCCTCCTTGTCACGTTCCTCTCCGCCCACCGTCCTCGTGTGCGCCCACACCAGGGGAAGCATTGCACAGGGCGGGTGTGGGGAAGGCGTTATCTGCCATGGCAGTGAAGAGAACAGTGAAACAACCCACACGCCCCTAATTGACTCACCTTGTCATCCTCCGCCATATCTTGTTCACCCCCTGTGCGCTCGTGAGCATGTGCTTCATTGTCGTGAACCCGAACCAAACCTCTCTGCATGACTCACCCCGTTATCCTCCGCCATGCATTGTACCCCTGAGCTGATCCCCCGTGGGCTCGTGAGCATGTGCGTGTGTGGGGAAGCTGTCGTCTATTATGGCTTCATTGTGTAGAACCCATTCGAATCCCTCTGAATGACTCACCTTGTTTTCCTCCATCGTATGCCTTCGCACCGCTCACAAGCTCACACCATTCCTGTAACCCTGATCCCTTGTGCGCTCGTGGGCATGTACATGTGCGTGTGTATGGGCATGGGCATGTGCATGGGGATGGGCACGGGCATGTGCATGGGCATGGGCATGGGCATGGGCATGGGCATGTGCATGGGCATGGGCATGTGCATGGGCATGGGCACGGGCACTGGCATGTCTGTGGGTATGTTTATGGCAGTGGAAGTGGCGTACAGGGCGAATGTGGGGAAGGCGTCATCTGCCATGGCGTGGAACCCTTACAGCCGGCGATGGGAGCAGGTGAGTCACGAACGAGGAAGGGGGGGGGGAGAGGGCTGTAACAGGAGGGAGAGAGGAGAGACGCCACGGCAGGAGGGGGATGACAGGAGCAGAATGGCACGAGGGTGGGGAGCATGAGGAGCAGCAGGAGACGAGAGAGGGGATTGGGGGGATAGGGGGAGGATGGGGGGAGGGAAGGAGAAGTCTGATCATGTCCGCTCTCCCTCTGTCCCCATCGGCCACTCTCCTGCTCGTGTCCGCTCCCTCTGTCTTCCACCCTCTCTCCCCTGCACCGTCTCGTCCCTCCACCCTCTTTTCCCTCCACCCTCTTTTCCCTCCACCCTCTTTTCCCTCCACCCTCTTTTCCCTCCACCCTCTTTTCCCTCCACCCTCTTTTCCCTCCACCCTCTTTTCCCTCCACCCTCTTTCCCTCCACCCTCTTTTCCCTGAACTGCCCCGGCCCTGCCCCGGCCCTGCTCCTGAACTGCCCCTGCCCTGCCCCGGCCCTGCTTCTGCACTGCCCCGGCCCTGCTCCTGAACTGCCCCGGCTCTGCCCCGGCCCTGCCCCGGCCCT